AAACCTCAATTTCCCATAGCAGCCGTGTACTTATGAGATCGTAGATGGAGTATATCTTAGAGTCTGTTAGTTGGTGGTATATTGGCACGATCGTTTAGAAACACCTCGTTGAACCAGCACTTTCCTCGTTTGCTCTGTCAGATTTTTCTGTTATTAGCGAGATACTTTACGAACGTGTAGCCGATACTTATTAATTTTCACGCGGCTCGCGGATCGGGCCTCGCTCCAGTGCATCGCCATTAAGCGCAACATCCTAGGAGAAAGATTATAGGCGAACGTTTTATGAATAGCTCGATAAATCTTGCCCCTTGATACCGTTGCGACCGGTTATGCGTTGCTTTTAAATACTCGCTTAACGCTCGTGACGATTTATTACGAGATTATCATTCCGACCAATTCGCGTATTACACTATACTCTCGGAGAAGAATGATCATACGATTTCAGCAATTGTTCACGTTGTCAGAATTTTTGCCGCGTTTGTCGTTCGACAACAGTCGATGTGCGAGTGCAAGAGATTTGGTCTCGTTTACCTGATTGCTTTCTTCGTTATACGAGATTATACTATAATGCCATTCGCGTGACTTATCTTTATGATTGATCGTGAAAGAAGGTGTGTCTATGAGGGAAGTTTGAATTCTCATCCAAAGCCATCATCTGTAGATGACATTTAGGATAAAAAGATCGTTAGGTAATTATAGATTTTAAACGAGGCACTTCAAATTTTTTCACGGACGGTTGACCATGTTTTAAGAAAACACAGCGTAATTTTGATGTAACTATCTCAATTACTAATTACGTTATTAAACTATCCGCGTGATGTCAAAGACATTTTCAATGGGCCTATGTTTAACATTTCAAGCGATGCATCCTTTTCCGTAAATGTCGGGAACACGTTTTTACAGAAATTTTCACGCGTTCTTAATAATAAAAAAACACGACTATTTAAAAAATGACCAAAGGCATCGTAGCAAAATTAATAATTATACAAAGGAAGGATTTCTCGATCGATCCTTCGTTATTACGCTTTTAAGCGATGATTTTAAACGGGAAGGAGCATTGGCAAAGATGGCATTAGGTCGTTATAAATTCAACGATAAAGTCATGGTTGAACGTTTAACTATCTTGTCAACGTCTGTCTCCATGGGAGTTGACGAGATCGCACTGAAACCATTATATGCCTCTCATTATACGCTCTTAGGTTCCATTGTACATCTCAGTTGCAATTCGGTGCAGTCCCTCGAGGCAGGTTTTGGAGGTCAGTCTATTCTTACCTACCTCTATTCGCCTCTTCCGTCTACCGAAATACGATCCTCTAAGCATTGCCGCGAGCCCGAGGTGAATCGTTAGAGCATCATAATTTGCACAGTTGTCTTCTGTCGTCCGGAAGATAGAGATTTTCCGAGACTGAACAGACAAAATCATACTTATGACGTGCTAAAACCCATCGTTGAGTTTTATTAGCTAATTTGGCACAATAGGCACAGCTAAAGTAGCAAAGATTAGTCTCTCAAGTATAACAGTTTTGAATACATAGTGGCGCCATGTAGAGCAGAGTTTAAAGAGTTCGAATTCGAATCTGTTTTGGATTCGTTGTTGGAAATATTATATTAAGCCGCGTAAAGGTCATACTCCTCAGAATGATAATTTTGTGCATTTCACCTCTTGTATCTCATATCGGATACAAATGTAATAATCTTAAGGATACATATTCAAATCTTATCGAATTACATGCCTTAGTTTTTTTTACAAAATTCTAGTTCAAAATCGCGCAGTAACAAATATCTTGGTTTTAGTTTTACGCTTTCGCGATTCCTTACTCTCTGTGGAGTAAAATAGCGTTTCACCTACTTACGACCTTATAATCAGATCCTGTACTCGCACTCGGTAGGAATGAAAATGTATTTAATTCAGAGCAGCCTCTATATCAGAAATTATTTGCTTTTGAAAAGATCGATCGCCTTGTCACAAACCAGTCGAGCAAGTTTGAAAAATACAGAAATAATCCTTGTTACCGACAGAGAAGAATGATATCGTTGTCGAGTGCGCGGATCGATTCGAATTCGAGTCCCGTGTGGAAACGAAGCGTTAAGGAGGTTGTGGTATAACGTGGCTGTTTGCGGAGAACACGGGATCGTTTGTATGTAGCCCCATTTGCCATTCGGCGAATAAACGAAGGACAGGGCCAGCATGTTTGACACAGGAAGGTAGTTGCCTGTGCGCGACACTCCTGTATGCCGAATAAATAAGACTCCACCCCAAGGGCGCTGCTTTGTTGAATTTTCCGAGTGCCCCATTAGTTTACGACATTGGACAACGAAACGACTACGGAAGAAATGATTTTAAAAGAACCTCGAGAAAACCTTGAAGGAAATGTGAACGAGACAGGGTTCTTTTGGACGATCAGAAAGGAGAAAGCACCAAGTCATCTATTAAGTAGAAATCATGACAGAAGTAACGTGATTTCTTTTCATAACGATAAGTACATCAGGCGAAAAACCAGCAATTATTTGTCGGTAATTAATACATTAAGAACTACTGTTAATATGATGTCTTTCAGGATTAGGACAGATAGGTTAATTATTATTAGTATCAATGATTCTGAAGAAATAATAATTCACGAAGCATATAATATTCGAAAGAACATTCTCCTAATTTTTATTTTTGACTTAATTTTTAGAAACTTGCGATTTTTTAGTTTCAAATTTTCATAAAATTACCGATTGCAAATGTGTCAATTAACGTTGATTAGTAGTGTATTTTCTCTCATTTCTATATTTATTTACTATGTTTCTTCAGATATTTTACTCCACATTTATAAATTCTTACAATTCCACGCTTAAATTCTTGACTTCTATTGCTTCGAAAATTCAACTCTCAGAGAAGCATCGTTTTTTGTAAAACGACTTAATATTTTGTTTTAATTGATTTACTTCTTTCAGTTTATTTCATTCCACTGCATTTGTTGATTATGGTTTTGTCGACCACATGTAATTCAATAACAATAGCGTTGCGTTTATGTCCGATGCAATAACTGTGTTATATTGTGACACACGAACGTAGAATGCGAGATGGAATAGCATCCGATCTTTTCCTGGAACAAACGACGACAGTTTCTTCTCAGGTAAACCACGAGAACTCGTATCTTTGAAGATTAGAAGCATGGAAAACATGCACGTTTGTATTCCGTCGAGCTGTGCGTGAATTTCTTCATTCAGGTACCAAGAACTTCGTAATTATGGGAAACAGGTAAACGTATTTTCTTTACGACGACATCCAAACAAATAACGCTATCTGACCGGTTTTTCTCGTTCTAATCTTGAATTCATTTTTATCATTGCTTGTTTTAATTACTTAATGATAGCGTTTTTCATCTTTCTTCGTTTAAATATATTCTCAACTTATAGAACGTATACGTATGCAACATCGTTTATGGCTGATAACAATATAAAAAATATTTTGTCTGTAAAAAGGTAGACAGTTTCCTAGAAACGTAATAGTTTCTTTTAAAGAAAATCCACGCTGTTAATGTTGCAAAGGTTTTTTACTACATGTTCTCTCAGCGATCTCATCTTTTAGTAATCTCATCTCTTAGTATCAGGATTGATATATCTAATGCAACGTTCCTTCAATTTCCTGCTTATGTTCGGCTCATTTCCTTCAGGTATATAACGTTCTATGGAATCGTTTTCAACATGTATGGAATAAGACTACTCATACGTATGAAACATACCTACATACCATGTGTATGTATCTATCTGCATGTTACATATAACAGGTTATGTTTCATTTTCCGCATTTATGACATATATATATATAAGTGTATTTTCTCTCATTTCTATATTTATTTACTATGTTTCTTCAGATATTTTACTCCACATTTATAAATTCTTACAATTCCACGCTTAAATTCTTGACTTCTATTGCTTCGAAAATTCAACTCTCAGAGAAGCATCGTTTTTTGTAAAACGACTTAATATTTTGTTTTAATTGATTTACTTCTTTCAGTTTATTTCATTCCACTGCATTTGTTGATTATGGTTTTGTCGACCACATGTAATTCAATAACAATAGCGTTGCGTTTATGTCCGATGCAATAACTGTGTTATATTGTGACACACGAACGTAGAATGCGAGATGGAATAGCATCCGATCTTTTCCTGGAACAAACGACGACAGTTTCTTCTCAGGTAAACCACGAGAACTCGTATCTTTGAAGATTAGAAGCATGGAAAACATGCACGTTTGTATTCCGTCGAGCTGTGCGTGAATTTCTTCATTCAGGTACCAAGAACTTCGTAATTATGGGAAACAGGTAAACGTATTTTCTTTACGACGACATCCAAACAAATAACGCTATCTGACCGGTTTTTCTCGTTCTAATCTTGAATTCATTTTTATCATTGCTTGTTTTAATTACTTAATGATAGCGTTTTTCATCTTTCTTCGTTTAAATATATTCTCAACTTATAGAACGTATACGTATGCAACATCGTTTATGGCTGATAACAATATAAAAAATATTTTGTCTGTAAAAAGGTAGACAGTTTCCTAGAAACGTAATAGTTTCTTTTAAAGAAAATCCACGCTGTTAATGTTGCAAAGGTTTTTTACTACATGTTCTCTCAGCGATCTCATCTTTTAGTAATCTCATCTCTTAGTATCAGGATTGATATATCTAATGCAACGTTCCTTCAATTTCCTGCTTATGTTCGGCTCATTTCCTTCAGGTATATAACGTTCTATGGAATCGTTTTCAACATGTATGGAATAAGACTACTCATACGTATGAAACATACCTACATACCATGTGTATGTATCTATCTGCATGTTACATATAACAGGTTATGTTTCATTTTCCGCATTTATGACATATATATATATATATTATATATATTATATATATATTATATATATATTATATATATATTATAATATATAATATATATAATATATATAATATATATATAATATATAATATATATATATATTCGGATTATACAAGCCCCAAAACGTATCAGACTAAAGAATACACTTCCATATTTGAAAAGAATTGCATTTAAAGCAAAAGTAATACTCGTACCTTGAAAGATAAGAAACCAGATATATTATCATCTTTTATTATTTTATTTGTGATCCATACCTTTCGGTTTTGGATGGCTTTTGGTTACGTCTGTATTTACAATATTTTATCTTATATAATACTCTCACCATAAATTATACCTTCCTATCCTTATAGTCTTACTAAATTAGGATTAGAACCAATAGAAGCAAACTTAACATAGACTTTATCGATTTTTCTGGAATTTAATACTGCGAACTGAAGCTATTACGAGCTTTCGGCTGAAGTTTTTACACAAAAGATTTCGAATTTACATGGCCAAGTTTAAATTACACTTTGAAATTACCTCTTAACTTTTCTAAAGTGCATATTTGTGAAAGATTCTTACCTATCTTGTCTAGATTCCTTCTCTCGAGATACCTCTGGAATCTTCAGAGCTTTATAACCAGCGTTGAATCGGCTTAGTCAATCTTACGTACACTTGCAAGCCTTGTTTCTTGTCTACCTTTTTCTCGAAATACTTCATAAAATTATAAATATATTTTTAACCTATCTAATCTAGCTTCTTTCTTCCACGAAATACTCCTGAAATGTCAGATAGCTTTTTGTTCAGCTTCGAACTTATTTAGTCAAGCTTGATCTGTACCTCTTAGATTTCTCAAAATATAACACTCGATAAAAGATTCCAATCTGTCTTATCTAGATTTTCTCTTTTCGAGATGCTTCTAAAACATTCTAAACGTCATTTACCTGCAAATTTATTTAATCGAGTTTAAGCTGTATCTCTCCAATTTCTCAAAGTACTTGATCAAAAATTCGAACCTGTTCCTTCTACACATTTCATCAAAGTACTCTCGAAATATTGAAAATCTCATATCCAGGAAGATCTCAAGCTATTTACAGCATATTTGATCCAACGATATACTTGATCCTTAGACATTTCGTGCTCCATCGTAGTAAGAGAACAGAGTTTGCCACAGCGGGTTTTGGCATTTGCCTGTTACGGTGACGCAGTCGAGTTCCTGACCGAATCTGAATGTCGCCAGTTGGAGGTTTATTGATTGAAGAAGCTCGGCGTGCCCCACCCTGTCCTCTACTGGCGAATATAGTTCAGCAGCTCGCCCTCGGCATTACTGACCTACTACCACACGAGCAGCATTCGCAAGGTGAGGGTTGTCTTCAACGAGGACATTCGAACTGAAGAGAGCCGTTTCAGAGGCGGCTCCCCCTCTCTATTCTAATACAGTTCTGCTGCTTTGTGATTTTCAATGCGAGTAGTTTCGACCTTTCGGCAAGAATTTCCGAAGGGACATTCGCCGAGGAAAACAGCTCGGAAAGTTTCACGCGCAGCTTGTGAATGATTTTTCCAGGAGAAACGAACAGAGAGACACGTTGCCTGGAAGACTTTCGAGGTGTAAATCTAGGTGAAGGAATCGGTTTGAAAGATGGACTTTGGCAAGTACGGCAGGTAATAGAACGAATACCAGAATGGAAGTTCTATTTCGTATGTCTCTGATGCTTTCTTTCGATCTTGATTTTATTTTGTATTTTCAAGTCTGTGAAATCATCGTTTCCATCTTGAGAAGAACGGTGACGTTTCTGCGAAAATAGAATTTGATGGATCGTATTATTCACTAAATTTCGTGCTGTTACCGATCACGTTAATTTTGTTGCATCTTTTGAATTATTTTCCACCTAGTCCTGTTTTTCTAGCGTTGAAAGATTTCTTCAGTTTAAGGAAAATATACGCAATAGAATCGTTATTTGTATATTTATATGATAACGAATTGAGTTATTTATCGTTTTATTAAGATACACAAAATATATTAAAGTAATGAATACAAAATCAGAATACAAGGAAAAGATACAACAAGAATTTGTATGATTTAAACAAATATATGTATTATACTTTGTGATATTAATGGGTTAAAGAAGAATAAGCTGTGGATCACGTGTATTCAATGTTACGAAGAGTTTCGATGAAAATAAAAAGATTTTCGAAAAAGATGTGGAAACATCATATTGGCACGTTTTGTATTGGCGTCACGATTTCCGGTTCGATATGGTTGAAGTAATTAAAGTAGCGATCATGCGTCCACGAATGTGAAGTTGGCAAGTGACGAGCATGTTTTTCAGAATGTTTTCTCGGTGTTTTTCCGCAATGCATATAAAGCGACTACTTCACGTCGCATGCATTAAATCCTCTAAAGAGATCAACCGCTTTCAGGGTAAATCTTTGAAAAGAGGCGTCTCGAATTTGCTTTGTGCGTGAAATGATGAAAAGTCCGCTCCCGTTGCTTACCCTTCTTGACCTCGGCCCTTTGTATTTACAAGAGATTCTCCAGCGCAATTAAAATTCTTTGAATTCCTCTGACGTGTCACGGGACATGCATATTCATTGGAAATGTTTAACAAAGAATAGAATTTTCGTTTGATTTTGATAGAAATCTATTTAAATGGAAATTTAATTGTGGTATGAAATAACGGTGTCTGATATCTGGGAATATTTTGGAAATTCAATAGTACGTTGAGATAAATAGAACTGATATCTGGATACATTGGAATTTTACATTGTATTGAATTTTATTAATTTAGCTATGTAGAATAAAATTGTAGAATACAATATACAATATCTTCATATCTTCTTTTTACGAGAGATTAAATTTCCTGTACGCTCTTCCGATATTGGATTTTCAATAAATTATAGCTCTGATTTAATAGATTATTACATTAGAATTTTATATAGATATTCAATTCTACTAAATTTATTATAATGTTTAGCAATGTAATCATAGAAAGTGACAGACCTAACTTTCGATAGAATGTAATTGTCATGTTACATTACAATCAATATGTTTCTTGAATTGTTTTATAAATATATTTAATGCATCGATGGATTATTGTAGGATGGATTGCAATACCATTGTATTAAAGTTTCGTAATAATTGCTTGATTTTTATTACTGCACGTTTATGGAAACTTTCGTTGCGGTGACTGACTTACAATCGTTTGAACGTTACGAAGAACACAATCATTTTGAGTGAACGCTGTGATAAATGTGCGTTGCGTAAGCAATAGATCCGGAACAATAGTTCCAGACATAATCTACGATCTTCTGCTTATCGTGCCTATTGCGTGTAGAATAATAATCATACCGTAAATTAGTGATAACGGAAATTACACGTAGAAAGTGTCGGACAGTACGCGACACGATGATAAATCCGCTGAAATGTTGAGATATCAGCGAATTCAACGGTCGCTAATGATCAATTTCTCGACATAAGATGTCGAATAGATAAAATTTCAGAGCCTCGAGTCTCCTTAGATTAAATTGTTAAACTTTTAAATTGCCCAGTATTCGAGTTTTTTAACTTTGCCATATTGTAATTTTTTAATCTTCAAATATTCGAGAGATTAAATATTACAATTTTTTAATTCCCAAAGTTTCGCAACTTTCAAACTTTCCAACTTTCCGACGTTAGAGCTTTTTAACTTTCAAATTCCCAAACTTCTAAATATACTAAATATACTAAATTCCACAACCATGAGAAAAATACATAGCTCCATCCGTAGCATCCTAAACTTTGCTGCCGAAGTTTGCAAGCCGAAATAAACGCGTTTCAATTCATACGGAATAATAGAAATAAAAATACGTCCTTAAACTCGAAGTACACGATCGTTTGACTCGGATTTCTTTCTTCTTTGGTCCAACTGGGATTAAAATGTGAATTATGCGCGAGTTGGTAGCTGGTGAAATTCGTGCAAAAAGGAGCATGGTCTTCCTGCGCGAGTACGAATCCGGTTTAATAGCCCAAGAGGGGGTGGTGGTCTCGAATTACTGTTTCGACGATATTTATGTCGGGGCAACGGGAATGCAAGAACAAAGGGCTCTCTGTGGTGGCTCGATCTTAATCGTTTAGGATCCTCCTGGCGGAATCGCAGCGCGCCATTAAATCGTCGCTTATTTTCTCCTCCGCTCTTTCGTTGTTCCTCTAATTACCTGCAACTGGTAATTTTTGCTCCTTAGAACTATGAATTCTCTTTGGATAGTCATGGGAACGTTTCTACGATATTTCATGTATCGACGTCAAACAGACTTGGTAGCGGAAGATTTAGAGGAGAGTTGACGAGAGTAAGACGATGAATTATGTTCCTTTGAAGTATATGCATGGGTAAGAAGACTTTACTTAAATCACGTTAACCTTCTCTAAGTTCTCGTGAACTATTGAATTCGAGTAACTTCGCTGTACCTGTATTGTCGCCTATGTAAGTATTCGCAATCTTTCAAAATATATGAATGTTATTTGGAATGAAACTTTTTAATCTAATTCTATTAATATAATTAATCCAGTCTTAATCTAATTGGCATCTAGCTGCTATATTTCAAACGATCATATACAGTTAACTCAGCCGGTAAAACGTGAATTCCTGTTTTGTCAAGGTACAAAAATCGTATTAGAATAATAAACGCATTGCGAGAATCCACCATAAAAAGAGGAGAAACAGGACATACGTTATGGAACTGTTAGGATATATCTGAATTAAAATACGTATGTGTATAATCTATTGACCATGATGAATCAGTTGGTAAAATATCGATAACGAATCAAACCTTCTCAGTCTATCTCCATGTATTTCAAATACCGTCAGGAAAATCGAAACATTTTTATTCAGACTTTTATTCAGAAAATATGAAACAAGCAAGGGCGGTAAGCGCGAGAAAAGGGAAAAAGAAACACGATCGTAATGAAAGTGGAGAACGATCCTCGACATCCTTACGCACCCCGATATCGAGGTTCCCATGGAGTGTGATCAGAGTTCTATCTTTTCCTTTTTACACGACGACGGTTCTCCATTTGCTTTCAGAATCCGACGCGAAACGTCCGTGAACCGATAAGCCGGTCCTTTTGCGGCCGACACCTTGCAGGATCGTTACTCACTTATCGTTTTTCGAGAGCGCTAAAAATTGCAGTCGCACGAGATACGCTCGAAGGTGAACAGGTGTTGACTAAAAATACCCAGACACGTACACGGAAACACACACCGTGGACTCTGGATTCGCTGTAATCCGCGAGATTAGTCGAGGAAGAATCGGCGGAAGAATTTTGGGAATTTAGAGTGGATCCTGGGCTCGTGATAAAATCGAGGTCAAAGTTCAAACGCTAAACTCGCCAGGAACTCGAACTACAAAATAAAGGTTAGCACAAGCTCGAAGGTGAGGTTGTTGAATTTGCAAGATTAAATTGTTGGAAGGAGGTTTCTTTAATGCGATCAAACCTGTTCGTTTCGTTTTACAAGTCGCTCAGAGCATCGAATTTATGTTTCTGCGCTTCGAAATTTATGTCTAAGCGTTTTCTTAGGGCAGCGAAGAAGTTTTGCTCGATTAACGGAAGCACGATAACATCGCTGGCGAACTTCACACGTGCAAGCAATTAAAGCGTTGGCAATTCTCGACTCGTAGATCGTGATCTGCTACGATCGAAAGTAGAAGAAATCGTTATCCCATTAACTAAGCGTGTGGCGTAAGGCGAGTTATCTTTATGCGTTACGTGTGTCGTTGAAAAATCTAACTCACGAATCTTACGATTAATCGAGAACATGGGAATAGTTAGTAGATGACATTAAGTACATCGAGTTTCGATGCTCTTGTTATTGAAACTAACCTGAAATGCAAGACGTTGTATCAGTGATAAAATCAATTGGACAAAACCGATGTTATAATACATAATTAGCCTACGAATAGTCAAAATTCAGATTTATATAAATTAGTTTATTTTACTAGACGAAATGAACGAAGTATAACAAACTTTTATTATACTCTTTTTTAATACTCTTATTTATTTTTTATTATATATTTATTTTTATATATTTATAGATATTTTTATTATACTCTTAACACAATGTTGATATTTGCTAAATACAGTTTGTTGAAAATTTTGGATCTTATTCGCCGAA